GGTAAAAGTACTAACTTGATTTGATGTGGGTTATCATTGTGATTGGGTTCAAGTGTGAAACTAGTCTCTCATGTTATGCTTTGAGTCATATTTTATGTTTATGAAGCCATTATAGACTTTCCCACCTCATGTTCATTTTAAATGTCTTCCTTCTTTCTTCCCTGTCATGGATAAGCTATAACAAGCTTTGAATTCTTTCATCTGCTATCTAGTATCTGAATCATTAGTCTTTAAAAATTCTTATGTGGGTATATATTTATTTCAAACATTGCCTTCTTTCCAGTGCAGCTCCCAGTATAATTAAAAAGCAGGTGCAGCTAGAAACACAATACGTCATAACATCAAACAGTGCAGCTCCCAATATAATTAAAAACCAGGTGCAGCTTGTTGTGTACGTCACAACATCAGAAAACAAACCAAGACGTGTGTAAGAGAATTAGAAACAAACAAACAGAAAATGCAGGTTGTTGTGAGTAAAATAACACATTGTGTATGAAAGTACCATCTTTTTTATACCAATCACCAAGTACCATCTTTTTTATACCAATCACCAATAATAGTTGGTTTAAAAAACATTCTAAAGTGCTTTAAATTCTAAAGTGATTTAAATGGTGTATCCATATGTGACTGTTTGAATCAGTAAATGGGATTATATTTTCCTAGAAGAGCTAAGCATGACATAAATTTTGTGCATAAATCTGCTCTTGGTAAATTTTAATTCCTGAATTGGATCTGTGGATGATACCTGGATGCCAGCAAGAGCTATTCTGTTGAGGATTAGATTCAGACAAGGGAGCTTTGCATTGACATGATAAAAGTAGCAATTACCATTAAAACCTGCACAGATAAAGGCAGTTAAGAAATGTGCACATTATGTGTGGGCCAGTCATTTACACTTGCTTTTATGATTTCCTGGGACCATCTTTGTGATTGAACATAATTGTTTATAATGTCATTAACTTATTTATCACAGAAGCCCTCCCCCACTGCTAGTCTTTTCATATTAGAAGCTGAGATAGTTGCTGCCATTCATAGGCTCCTCCCTCTTCCTATCTTGCTCACTTGTGTGGAAAGTATGGTAGCACAAAGGAAAAATGTTCTTTCCAGTCATGTTTGGTTGTTAAGACTCTTAATTCTGAGACTGGCTTTTGTCCGAGGCCAGCAGTTGTATTTTCAGTGTGTCATTACTTACCTCCGTTTCATTAGGTTGTATAATCTGTTTTGTGGTATGATATTAAAATTCTTTGTTTTATAAGCTCTTTCAAAAATCTTCCTTGATGTTATGTACTGCATATTTAATTGGCAAACCCAGAGGGTCTCTCTGCCATAATGCCATGCTAGCTCTCAGTTTGAAGGGAATATTTTCCATTTTATGGAGAAGCCAATAAAAGTAACTGATAGCTCCATTACCCCCTTAGAAACAAGGACAGTCCTGAGTATATATGGTTGCCATAGTAAGCAAGGAAAGCTTGTTCAGTTGATTATGTATTTTAGAGCCAGATACTCTCCAAGAGATTTTATTAATAAACCTTTAGTTAAAGGCATTTCTGTATAATGTTGTTTCCCATATTCAGAAGCTAAAACATAAAAAGAAAACTGAAGACCTGTGTTTCTCAGCCAGAGGCATATGCAACACTATGTACAAAGAAATCTAGATGGAATTCAGACATTTTGCAAGAAATTTTAGTTCCTAAAAGAATTATTATTGGGTTTGTAGATGTTTATTTCAGTAGTGGAGCTGTAATTTTATGTCCTTATAACTTAATGTAAAACAAGTTACTCTGCATTCTACATAGTTTATATATATTTAGTTTAATAAATATGATAACAGAATGCCAACAAATGTCTTTCTGTGGGGGGGGGAGAGACCTTGTTTCCTATCATGGTGAGATACATGTTCTTTGCCGTTGATAAGAGCACACAAAGTTCAGAAATTTGAAAACCAGTGTTGTAGTTGCTGGAGTTTAATTTACAATCTCACCTGCTGTCTGTAGCGTGAGTGACTGGGAGGGACTTTTCTAGGCTGGGGTTCCATTGGAAGGGTTCCTGGATCTGAAAGCGGTGAGAGAGAAGGCCCTCTCTTGTGCGTCCACCAATTGTACTTCTGAAGGTAGTGGAACCAAGATAAAGGTCTCTCTTTAACTGTGTAGCAAAAAGAGAATTTCACTAGAAATTCAAAACTCTGCAACAATAGTCTATTGTGGAACATACCCCTAAGGAAATGTTCTGCCTAGCTGAAATTCCAAGCATGTTTGTGTTAATTTATTACATTCATTTTGATCTTTTAAAAGGAAGCCTAATTGCCAAGATCTTTATGGGCATAAAGATAAAAGGTTGTTAAGGGCATTTTTCACCATCTTTCCATCCATTCAGATATCACTATCATTATCATCATTATCTTAGTACTGCAGAGCTGGAAGTGACCCTATGGACTTTTGACTCCAGCTCCTGTCAAGGAGGCACAGTGGGGAATTGAACTCCCAACCTCTGGCTCCATAACCAGAGATCTAAACTACTGAGCTACCCAACAGTTAAGCTGCTAACAATAAGCACATGATAAATATAAGCCATTAGGACAAATAAAAGTAGATCAGGTGGATCATTGCTTGCTGTCCAGGCATACAGCATAGTATAAAAATGTATGGAAATGTAGTCATTAAAGGCCAGTGGAAAGACAACCACATGGAATTTTGCAGGCAGAGAACTTGTCATGGTATCACAACTGAGATCCTGCGCATCTCTCCACCATATTCCAGCTTAAATTGACAAAGCTACATACATTATTTCACTCATGTCTACATTTTTGATTACTGACCTTTCTGGATTTTCAAGTACTTTAAAAAAAGAAGTGAATCTGGATATGTGAAGAAAGAGAAAGTTATACCCTCACCCATGCCTGTTGCTGTCTCCATGGAGAGAGCCATGGACTGAAGAGAAAAATGTCTGCTACATGTGGGGTCTTTCCATATGATTGGTGATCAAAAAAATAAAATAAAATCCAGTTTCTCAATCAGTTGGCTAGTTGCAGGTGTAGCAGGCTGCCTCCCTCTTTAGTCTTCTCTTGTTTATCTGGAGATAGTGGCAGGTGAAAGGCTGGGCTAAAATTCTCTGGTTACGCTTTCAGATTAGCCACTTTTTGAATGCCTGACCAGAATGTGTGTCTTTACACTAGCAGAAATGCACTACCACACCTGCAGATCATCCACCCCAGTTTACAGCAGTGTGCTGTGCCATATTCCATATAGTTCCAGAGGATTTTCAACTGCCCAAAACAGTTTCAGAAAACAAAAGAATGCTGCATTTATAGGTGATCAGCTGTATGCAAGCTATACACAAGCATTCTTTCTGTATTTATCAATATTCTATTTCAAATCAGTGGATGTTTTATTTCACCAAATACCCTTTTTTCTGTCCTCTTCCCTTTATGCCAGAGGCAAAGTGCACAAATGAAATACATCTTCACATGCAACTTCCACTTTAGGCTGCCCATACAGAATTGCAAGGGTTGTTAATCCTTTTGCTTCAGGATATAGACTTGTATCAGCAATTGTGGCCAAGAGACATTTTGGCTGCTTAGCAGTAGCTTCTGAACAATTAGATTCCTGCTGATAATTTTATGCCTCCTTGTTCAATCTTGCGTCATAGGGTACCTGTGTGCAAAGAGGATGGTTTAGACAGGCCATTAATCCTTTAAAGGATGGTAAATTTTTAACTTCATTATTTGATTTTATAGAAGTTTGTTTCAAAAAGCATATGAGAAGGCAGCAAAATGTATCCAAATGTGATCATGCTTACAAAACAGATTGTTCTTTCCCACAAATCTGTTATATTGTTAAGAAATGTTTTGCATTCTGAAACATTTTCTTTAAAGAGCTTTCCCAATTTCAGCTAACTTGAAATAACCACCCACTTGCTGTAGTAGTAAATAGATAAGAGAAACTAGAATTAGAGGAATTCCAGTCTTAACTGTACATAAAGTGTTTAAAATGCTGCTATCCTTGAGATTTTTTTGAACTGTCTAAAACATAAATTATGCATTTTGCATTTAATATTTTATGACTCAGTGTTATGGCAATTGTAATGTAAACATTGGAATACCAGGAAAAAGCACCATCAAGAGAATGGAGTGGAGAAGTCTTACCAGTGGCAATTTTACACAGACCACATTATTTTATGTCTGAGTGGAAGAGGCCTCCCTGGTCTGACCTTTCCCTAAAATGCATTCTTATTATCTGCTGTAAAGACAAGGCCCTCTCTTATGGGCTAGAGTCATGCTGCATGAAGTACTCCACTGACAAAGAATGTCTCACTTCTTTTGAACAGAGTCTCAAGCTCAGGTGTCCATCTTCTCTCTTTTTTGGCAAGGAGAGGTGAATTGGGGCATTTGGCTCTCTGTGTTGACAATGGCCTGGCAATGGGAAGGAGAGTCCCTTAGTGTCTGTCTGGGGTTAGCGATAACCAGTAATCTTGGATAAGTGCCATGGTGCCTTTGTGACAGACAAGTTGGCATTGGTATTTTGTGATGGGTGGGGTTCATGTCAAGCATATCTGGTTTGATTTCAAAAAGACAACCCATTTATTAAGAAGACTGACACTTCTGTGTTAAAAACAATGTATAAAGCTGATGAATTATATCAGATGTTGACAAGAAATAATGTATGAAACAGCAAAATACTTAAATTGTTATTTTGGAAGAGTCAGTGTGGGCACAATCTGTGAATGGCTGCTAGTAGCTGTTCATTATAAAATCAAGAAAAGGGTGCTACATAGATGGCATTGTTATATAGCAAAAATACGTTCATAAATACTCATGTCCTGATAGATTTCATGACAGTCTGTTTGTTTCTGGATTATGTGCTAGTTCCTAGTTGTGGGGTGCTGTTGCTGCTTTGGGGAACTGACATCCCATGAGGTAGAGTTAATGCTATGTTAGAAAGCACCCCTGAAGAATGGGAATTGGCTAATAGCACACCTGAGATGTAATTTTTGTTTTCTTCCAGAAACCACACTTTTCAATTCCTTCCTTGAAGCAAAATTGGGAAGAATACAGACTTCAGTGTTTGAAATATCTCCATGAAACACCACCCCTTCTGTCAGGTAATGTGGCTACATAGATATGGCAGTCACAAGGATAAGTTCATTGCCTTGGTTTTCAGTATTGTGCAAAACAAACGTTCATGTTTGGGCAGTTAGATGTTGGTGGAGGAGAAAAGGTTCTGCTAAGTGTAAGAATTTGTCTACATTGTCAAAGGTTAGAACTTGCATTAGGGGACACTGTCTATGGAGAATGAAAAGGCTGGGGAAAAAGAGAGCATTGCTTCCCACCTCATTGTACAGAAGACAAAATGTGCAATAACTATGATAAGGTCTGTTATGTAATTTTTTTCGTGCTATACCTTAATGTGGTGTATGCCATGGTTGTCGTAGTGGCACAATTCAGTGCTCAGAGAACAAAAGTCCTCCCTTACCTCATATTACAATATGCAAGTCTTTCTTCCCTAGAAGAGGCAAGAAGATTATGTTTAATACAGAATTTGATAATATTTATTTTTTAACACATACATCAGAGGTGAACAGGAGGCCTGTGGACTACATTCTAGTCTAAGGCCAATTTTGTAGCTCTCTCTCTCTCACACACACCCATGTTGTCAAACTTGGAAGACAAACCAGAATTCCCTTTTAAGTAGGAAATACTCATGAATAGGAAATTATAGTTTTAAAAGGTTTTGTAAGTGGCTTGCCAAAGCAATCCATTTAAGACAGTGGTTCCCAACCTTGATGTTCTTGGACTATAACTCCTATCATCTCCTCATTGTTTTAAATCAGTATTTCTAGTTTGCCACCAAATGTTGATGCAGTAATGACATAGCTGGACTCCCATAAGGGGCCAGGATATTAGTCCATGTGTGTGCAGTGAAAATTGCAGTGGCTGAACTAGTAAGTCTGACTAGAGTAGGATATTTAACCAGTGAGAATTTAATGAGTCAATTCCTCCATTAGTTCCATTGATTTAAATGGGCCTACTCTAGTTGTGGCTTACTTAATTGTAGTAAGTCACAATTGGAGTAGCTGTGTATGAATCAATGGAATTTACAGAGGAATCACCCAATCTTCATGATTCAGTAGGTCTACTCTAGTGTGATTTAGTATGTTAAATGACAGGAATTCAGTTAATGAAAGATAAAATATTCAAACATGAAACATAATAGTGTTATAATCCAATTGCCTAAAGGCAGTATAATAGAATAAATGTTTTATTCAGCTAACTGATTAATAGTGAACAATTTTCCTAAAACTAAAAAGACGTTGGCTTGACAGGGGTGGGTCAAAAAGCAAGTCCAGATGGCACCACTGTTACTGGAGATTATCCTGTTTCTTCTGACTGTAAATTTAACTATCACTGGATTATTTGAAGTGTACACTAGGTCATTTCAGCTGTAAGTATACATTAAAAACTAGGTCACCAGCTAAGTGGGAGGTGCCTACAATTAAGTTTTCAGGTCTTTGGTCCTTTAACTCCTAGTAATTTGAAAAATAAATTGTACAATGTATCTGGATGTTTCAGTTTGATGTATTAGAATGGATGTATCTTGAACTGTTTCAGAATCTGTTCTTTAAAAAATGTTTAGAACTGCCTCTCAGAATTGCATTGTTGAAGTAGAGGAAGACACTGCAAGTATTAATATCAAGTAACATTAATCTCCCTTGCTCTGTTGGGCAGCTAAGGGTCTACTCCTAGACTGATAGTTTAATAAATCTCGCTGAAGCTTTAGCATGTTGAATAAACTATAATGCTGATTGGTAACCTTTTGTGTGAGTATTTAAGCAATGCATAAAATAAATAATGGAAGTTACAGTTTGAAATGACATCAGAGCAGGTCATTTATCCAGAAGAAAATGCATGCAGTGTTTGGAGCAATTCTCTGAAGTGGTAAAAGCCAAGCTAGCAATGTGTGCATTGTAAAGCAGACAAAGTGGAATACCTGAATTGCCCCCAAAGTGGCTGCTATAGTGACAGTGTTATCTGTTCAAGTAAGTGTCATGGAACGGATGTATTCCAGATGAAATATGTAAATTAAAACAACACATATTAACACAGCCACCTTGTATCAGGATTTCATAGGAAGAAATCCTGATACAAAAATCAGACCATGTCCCAAGAACGACTTGGGAGTGGTCTGAACATAAATGATGCAACCACTTTACTGAATTTAATGGTTGGTTAATTCCTGGATGGGAGACTGTGTGCAAACTCTTGTAAAACTCTTAAAGCTTTGTGATAGAAGCTGTAAAATTAGAATAGTTATAAAAGCAATTCTAGCCCACCACCCTGTCTTCACCATTGAAACTGTATGAAGATGTGTATCAAGAAGACAGTTGTCCTAGGTCTGCAACACAACACTCTGGTCTAAATGACTCTTGGATCCATCTAGTTGCCCAAATAGAATTCTAGAGCCATTTTAATTAATAAAGAATTTTCTTTTTCCATCATCATGATATAAAGTTTTCTCTGACCTAGGATTTATTTTTCTTCAATATAATTTGTATAGTTGCTTCTTTATGTCACACTGATAAGTCTTCATGTATTCTCTGTTTACAGAAGGCAAGTTCTGCAATAGGACATTTGATAACTATGTATGTTGGCCTGATGGTGTACCTGGCACTTATGTGAATATGAGCTGCCCTTGGTATCTTCCATCAGTTAATTCTGGTAAGTATAAGAAGTACGTGTCTTAGGAGCTATGTGCATGATTGCTCTGCTACAGCTTATTAAGCTTGCTGAAGGCAAGCATTGTTGTAAGATAATGTAGGTCTGTATCTAAGATGACCTCTGAACGCTCTAAGTTCACATGACTGAAGTTCCTGTATGGAAAAAAGCTCCCCAACCCAGGATAGTCTAGCTATTGGAGAGAAAGATCCTTTTGGCTAGCCATCTCCATGACAAATAATCTGATGTGGTTTATATTCGCGAAGGCTTGCACGGCTGGGATCTAATGGTTGTTCTGGGTTTTTCGGGTTCTTTGGCCATGTTCTGAAGGTTGTTCTTCCTGACGTTTTGCCAGTCTCTGTGGCCGGGATCTTCAGAGGATAGCAACCTGTACTCTGGTGTAGTTGGCTTGGGAGTGCAGTATTTATGGCTGTGAGATAGGCTTTTGTCTTTTCCTGTAAATGGGTGATTAGTGTGTATTGTTGTGGGTTTATTGTTGTGCTAAGGGGAAGAGATTATCTGTTCCTGTGGTTGATGGGTGTCATTAGCTGGTCTTTTGTGTGTGGTGATCCCCTGTCCTTGTGGGTGGGTAGAGTTCGTTGACCTTTTGCACGTAGTATGTTTGATAGCTGGGAGCCAAGTTTTGTTGAGCTTCATACTTTCCTCTTTTTTGTTGAAACTGTGCTTGTGCTTGTGGATTTCAGTGGCTTCCTTGTGCAGTCTGACGTAATGATTGCTGTGTTGTCCAGTATTTAAGTATTTTGAAATAGAATTTCATGTCCAGTTTGTTTCAGGGCATGTTCAGCTACTGCAGATTTTTCTGGTTGTTTTAAAGTCTGCAGTGTCTCTCATGTTCTTTGATTCTGGTGTGGATGCTTCGTTTTGTGGTTCCAATATATACCTGGCCACAACTGCAAGGTATCCAGTATACTCCTGCAGTGATGAGGGGGGGTCTCTTTTGTCCTTTGAAGACCATAACATTTATTTTATTTTTGTGGTGGGCCTGAATACTGTTTTTAGGTTGTGTTTTTTCAAAAGTTTCCCCATGCAGTCCATGACCCCTTTGATGTATGGCAGAAATACTTTATTTGTGGGTGGCTGTTTTTCTTCTTCAGTTCGGTGTTGTTTTCTAGGTTTGATGGCTCTTGTGATTTCATTTTTGGAGTAGCCATTTGCCTGTAGGGCCCAGTTCAGATGATTGAGTTCAGTGCTGAGAAACTGAGCTTCACAGTTCCGATTTGCCCAGTCTACCAGTGTTTTGATTATGCCTCTTTTTTACTGTGGGTGGTGGTTGGAGTTTTTGTGTAGGTACCAGTCTGTGTGGGTGGGTTTTCTGTAGACCTTGTGTCCCAGTCGGAGGTCAGTTTTGCATAGGACCATGACATCTAAGAACGGGAGCTGGCCCTCTATTTCTTTTTCCATGGTGAATTGTATATTTGGGTGGATGCTGTTGAGATGATTGAGAAATTCTTCCAATTTTTCTTCACCGTGACTCCAAATTGCAAAGGTGTCATCCACATATCGGAACCAGACTGTAGGTGCGAGGGGTGCCGAAGCCAGGGCAAGTTTTTCAAAATGCTCCATGTAGAGGTTTGCTGTAACCGGGCTGAGGGGGCTGCCCATGGCTACTCCATCTGTCTGTTCATAGAATTCATTATCCCACTGGATAATGTGGTTTACTCTCAATGAGGATTTGACCTGAGGTAATTTCACATTACTTGGAAATTTCCAGGCAGTAATATTGAAGAAAACAGTGCAGTATTGAATGAACTGTCTGTTTATCTATCTTTGCTATTTCATTCATTTAAGCAGAAGGAATGGCCTTTTAAGAAGCTTTAGTTGTAAATATCAGTTTGAAGCACATATTTTTAGAATTTAAGTACAGTATTTAAATAACATGTACTCTCTGAAATTTGAATTCTGCTGTTTTCCATTTGAACTCTTTTGGCAAAATCCTGTTAGAAAACACAGAGGCTGAAATCCTGCTATACAGTAACATAAGTGGCGCAAGTTTTGGAAAGAAATTGCTGTGAGTTAAGAAATCTCCATAGATATTCTCTGTTGCATACTAAGTTATAAGACTTGGCATGCAGCAGGTAAGGTCTACAGAGATTTTTTTTAATGTAGAGAAATTAGCATCTAAGCATTATGCTGTTTGTGTAACTGCACAACCGGCTGTCATTGCATTTCGTACAATCTTCCCTTGCAGTTACGCAAGCCAGACACCACTCTGTTAAAAGTAATGGGGCCTCCACCTGTACAACGGTGTCATGAATGCACCCCTGTGTAAATGCCCAGAAGAGGATAACTGTGTGTGCAATAGATTTTTCCATACAATGTAAAATATTGTATTTATTTTCCAAGATCCTTGAGTAGCAAGGATTTCAAAGGTTTGATATTTTATTGACAAAATTGCTGCTGTGATGACAGACTGAATCCTGCAGCCTTTTTGGATACATACCTGCAGTTCCGGTTTTTCTGTAACAAGGAAACTACAGACATCCATTGTTCTTCATGTTCTACTTTTTGTTGCAGAAGCTGTGTTCCTTTGTTTCAGAATTCAAATTTTAATAGGGACCACTGAGGTGCAGAGCTATGCAGGGTGGGAGATGTGAAGAGCTTGGAAAGTTTTACTCACAACAATTTACTATAACATTTTAATCATCCCAGTGCTATAGAAAGGGCCAAAATGTAATTGATTTTTTAAAATTACGGTTTATTGATTGGTTCAGAAGTGTCAGCTTTAATTCTTGTAATATCTTCAACGTAAGTGTTGGGAGCTTTTGTGATTAAGAAAAAACACCTCTGTTTCTCTCTGGTATGAATATTTCCCCCTTTTTTGACCAATTTTTCCAAAATATCTAATTAACTTTTATGATATGTTTATTCTTTATAGTGACTGTTATCTTAGAGTCATTGGAAAATTGAATTTACAGGCTCTTTATTTGTTCTCAGAACATTCACAAGCATGTACATGATTTAAAGTTATATAATTTTTCCTTGTAATAATGTGCATTATTGTTGACTTTCCAATTAATTGATACAGCAGCCCACCAGACATCCCAGAACTCCTTCCAATAGTTCTAATCACCCTTTATCTAATAACCTGCATGCAAAATTAAATGTCTTCCCTCCAGTGAACCTATTTATTTTCCATCTTTAGTACTTTGTGGCAGTCTTTTGGCTGCTAACAGCACTAAAAGTCATCACTGTAGAAGAGAGCCAAGATTTACCACAAACCTGCACTTTAATAAATTATCAGAATGTGCTGCATCTTTCATGTACATCTGCAAATAAGCAAAATCTGTATTATCCTGGAATAGAGCACAATTTTCACTTAAAACTAATAAGTGTGCACCAACACACCTTGAATTGAGCAATAAGGACAGCTCAGCTTCATAATAGTGTGTATGTGCATCATTCTTCAAGATTAAAGTAACATGCAGATTAAAGTAACACAATTGTTCTGCTGTGATTCACATAGATTTATAACATGCCAAAGTTGGAAAGATTTCTAGGCTTATCATGAGCTAATTACTGGGATATATTCAACATGATTGATTCAGAAGTGTCAGTTTTAATTCTTGGGATACCTTCAGCAGAAATGTTTGGGATTTTTGTGATGAAGAAAAAAAGTCTCTGGCTTATTATTCTGTCCAGTCTAAATATTTCCCCTTCTTTTGACCTTTTCTATATTTCCAAACAATGTAATTATCTTTTATGGTACGTTTACTCTTTATAGTGACTGTTATCTTAGGATCATTGGAAAACTGAATTCACAAGCTCTTTATCTTTTTTCAGTTGTTCATTCACAGACATGTACATGATTTAACGTTAATTAAAATTTTGCTTGTGTGGAATTGTTGAATTCCACATTATGTGATATAAGAGCATGTCAGACATCCCAGAACTTCCAGTAGTTCTAATCATCCATTATCTAATAACCTAAATACAGGATTAAATGCCCTCCCTCTAGTGATCATGGGGACAAAAGAACTTTCTTAGCATAAATTTTTCAACAAAAATTTCTGAGTTGCATGCCTTACTGATCAGACTCGCAAAATAAACACATTTGCCTTTCAGCCACAAAACAAAATGTGGTTAAATATAAGATGTGGAGAGGAGGAGAAAGACAAGTTATCACAAACAGATGAGTTTAGATGTATTACTTTTAATTACCTGCTAGGCATATTGTCTAGTGAGTATGGGATTATCAAGCTGACTAGACCTTAGAATTTGTGAGCAAAATACATCCAGTTCACTACAGCGTTCTATTTTAGTTGTGATAAACACTATTAATGATGAATGTATTTGTTAAAATCAACCAAATAAAAATTCAATATTAAGAATCACAGGCTCAATAAAGCAGATTTAAAAAGCAAACATGACATGCTAATTAGTGGCAATTGAAATGTGTCTGAGAAATATTATATTTTCTACAATTTTGCCATCCCTCTCAGTAATAATCATGTCGGTTCCTTTAGAAAAGGTAACATGAGGCCGAAAGGTTGCATGCAGTCTAGGGGCTCAAACAAGGCCCCAGAATCCCAGAGTGCTTTCAGCCACCTCATCCCTATTTTTAATTTTTCTCTTTTTTTTTGTTTGTTTATTTTGATTCAAAAGATGGGGACAACAGTGCCACGATTTGAGGAATCCCTAGCATTCCTGTCCTTCAATGTTTAATTTTTTTCTTAAAATATCTTTGGCCACTAGAGGGTGCAAATAGCTTTTTTCAGTTTAAAGCACCCGTATCATTTTAGTAAGGAAAAAAGTGGGGTTGAGGTTACCAGAGGAAATGTGGTTATAAAAGGTCCAGGGATGGGTGTGTGGCCACTGGACCTCTGAGGGTTGATTACCCTTGTTATAGAAAGTACTTGAAGGGTACCTCTGAAGTGGATAAATTATACTAATGACAGCTGAGTGGAAGTGTTTTCTTGTCCAACATATTTGAAGGGAAGCAGAGCAAGGAAGACAGGATTATACATGTTCTTTAGTTCCTTAAC